CTCTGACCTCACGCCTCACACTATCTACTACACTGATGATTAACCTGATCCGTGGTAACATGACTAGGATAGTGCCGGACTGTTCTGGTAGCACTGCTAAACTCAATAGATATCTCCGGCAACTACTGAACATAACATAAGAAATATCAGTTGTCACAGGGGTCCAAAAAACAAAGCGATGATCAGATTTATCCTAACCAACAGCTTGATTGACCCAATTCCTGTGGACTCTATTGACAGGATGAGATTTTTTGCCAGGTGCTGTGCTAGCATGGAAAGTGCCTATGTCTAGTAAACAGGAGTAATCCTGGTTCAAATCCCAGCATGTGCACTAAGATTGTGGGTATGTTTGGACTGTAAATTTATTGTATCCCTTTTTCCCCCTTTAAATGTATCATTCTCACAACTATTCACTGAACTTGTCATATTACTATGTCGTTCTCCAAAAGTGAAAACAGGAGATCCTGGGTTCAAATCCCAGCAGTGCCTAAGATTGTGGGATGTTTGGACTGTAAATTTATTGTTTCCTTGTTTTTCCCCCTTTAAATGTTCATTCTCATCAACATTCCTGAACTGTCATTTATGTCGTTCTCCAAAAGTGACACAGCAGTGAGGATTCCATGGACTGGTTTTGTTGGGATAGACCTGCTCCCTCTTCCCTTTCTGTATCTGGGAACATTCAACCATCTCCTACTATACTAGGAATCTGTTTGAAGAACAGATTTGTATTTTTATGAGATTTTTCTCCCATGGGGGATCAATAAAGGAATAGCTCATCTTATTTTTGCAAGGTCATTCATATACACAACATTAAACATGAACAAAGAGTGTGACACAGCAGTTGCTGGTATTTCCAGTCTCATCCTAACAGGCAATTTGTAACTATGGATGTCACAATACCAAAAATGTAGTAGTCGACCATTAAAATTCCAAGATTCTTGATACGATAACACTCCCTTCAAGTACCAGAGACAGACAGCAGAGAGAGTTGATGAAGGCTGCACTGTGCATGAAAGCTTCATGAGCACCTGTACAGCTGCACTTGTTGCTGTCTTAAAGCTGTTCTTCTTCTTCCTATGGCACTGAATGGCAGACTAGAATACTTGCAGACGTATATGCTGCCCTCTCCGACCTGGAAGCATTGTATCCCTGGTGATGTAGGGAAACAAGTACTATTAAGCTTACATAATTTTACCATTGACTTGGTACCAAAGTACCACTTCTCATAGCAACCCCTTTTAATCATAGCCACAGTCTTAACTGCAACATAATTTGCATTTTCTATTTAAGAGGCACCGCTGGGATTTGAACCCAGGATCTCCTGTTTACTAGACAGGCACTTTAACCAACTAAGCCACGGCGCCTCATGACCTGTTTCTTCTCTAATATCCAAGTTCCAATCATGTTAAGACATTTGTAAAACGATGATCACTAAGGCTGAAGCATTATGTTCATTGTCTTAGATCAAACAGGATGTCTCATGCATTATGTTCTTCCAGTTGGTTCAAACTGTCGATTTTCCTCCAATCAACCCAAATTGTTGCTTTGGTTGAAAATGAAGCATGTTAGTCTTTAAACTAGTATTTTGGTGATAGATAAGGGGAAATTCTGTGACGAAAGAATTAACTGTCAATTAGGCCCTGCTGGGATTTGAACCCAGAATTTCCTGTTAGACAGGCATTTTAACCAACTAAGCCACAAGACCTCATATTTTGCTATCACTGATACGCTGAAGGCTCCTTCAGCAAGGCATTCACCAAAACTAGCATGTTACTGATGGCTGTGTGGCTGTGAATATGTCCTCAGTGAAGGAACTGTTCCAACTGGAACTGGACCAGTAAGCTGAGTAGTGTGTGAACTGGGACTGGCTCCCTGTCTGTCACTGTCAGTGGCAGCTAACAGCTCGTCTCCAGGGGGCGATGTTTTATTCACACCCATTTATCCCCATTCAGTGAAAATATATCTGCTTTCTAACAGCATTCTGACTGGGACTAAAGCAACTCATATGGGTGGAAATAGAGCAATGGTGGAGAAGGTATGAGGAAGACAGAGCAGAGAGGGCCAGGAGGGATTTTTAGGAGTAATTGGAGTGAGTGGATGTGACTCAGCAGGGTTTAGCAGTGTATGGACAGCTGTCCAGGGTTTAACACTCAGGCATGAACACTTGTGTCCTGTCATTGTATTCGAGGCGCCACAGAGGCCTTGAGGTTACAGTCCGGTCCTGTAAGTGAAAGGTCACAAGGTCAGCCCGTTCAAATGCAGCAATGTTTCCATCAGCAGCCGTCTGTCCTGCTGAGGTAACGTCTGAAGTCTGCACGAACCCGTGTTGTGGATGAAACCCTCTTTTTTTTAAAGAGGTTCAGAGCACAAATCCCACACATGCAGTTTCATGCTTTCAGCTTTCTTAATGTAAACCCCCACTAATCACTATTTTTAGCCATGTTATTTTTAGCATGACTATGGGTGGTAGTGGTAATCTGTCTGTCTACCACTTTGGTCCAGTCTGAAATAGCTCAACAACTATTTCATGGGTTGCCATGAAGTGTACAGACAATTATGATCCCCAGTGGATTAATCCCTCTTACTTTGGTGATCATTTGAGTTTTTATCTAGCGCCATCATCCGATCAGAATGTGTCCAATAGACCTTTTTTATGTGTTTGTAATCAGCGATTGACCATGGATCTATAAACAGAACTGGATACAGAGGAGGTGGCGCTCTGTTCATCCCAACTAAAGCTGCTTAGTGATGCATGAAGCCAAAAAAACATTTCCTGCTATAAAGAAATGACCAGGATGAATGCATACATGCACTCCAGAGACTTCCACTGACCAGGCTGGTTACATTCCTGTTTAGCCCTTCGTTAACTTGAATGTGGATAACATGATTTAATCATGTGGATCTTCTAGACTTTCAAAATTTTATAGGACTGAATGGTTTAAATTCTGATTTCATTTTTTCGGGGATTGTGAATCTCAGAAATCCACCAGTTTACAGCTGCTTCTTTCACAATGTTACCTTATGATAAAAAGTATTTTTGGGCCAGTGTGCGTCATGTGACAGATGCCATTGGTGTATTTACACGGTTCGGCCACTATGTCAGATTGTCAGACCGTCAGTCTTCCCGGGGGCCTTGGCAATAATGTATTTCATGGGTGTAGACTAATTGGTGTCAGAAAGAGACACCAGTCTGCTATGCTGTAAAGTTAATAGCAGTGCTTGCACAATCGTAGGCATCAGCCCAAACAGTGACATGACATACAGAGGACTGAACCCTGAAATTAACACTGAATGCTGTAAAATTAATTACAATCATATTTAGAATGCCTTATTATATCTGTAATGTCCCTACGCCACAAAGGCACTCCTGCCTAAAAGTAACGCGTTGGTGGCATCGTTAGCTGGTGTAGTAATTTGGTAAGCTAAGGTTAGCCAGCCAGCTGCAACCCAGCTACTAACGTTATCCGGCAAAGTAACTTTTAAATGGTATGCTGGCCAATCTAGATGAATTAGGTGAAGTTGTGCACTCGTATTGTGGGGTGGTTTTGACCAAATACCTGCAAAACTAATTCTTAGCTGTACTTTGTGTTCACTGTTAATTAGCTAGTGTTACAACCAATTAAGGTGGTGAACATGGTAGGCTAAACATTACACACACATTACGGCATGTTAGTATTGTCATTGTGAGAATGCTGATGTTAGCATTCAGTCTTGTTCTGTTTTACTTCATTTGCGACTCATTTAGCTATCCATTAGTTAAAGGAATTCTAAAGTGGGCCGTAGGCCTCTAATAAACATATTTTTGTGTGAATCTTTTTTTTTCAGAAACCACAGGTGAAATTTCAGGCTAATTAGTCACTGGTTACAAAAAGATAAGAGGGAGCATGCTTGTCCCTAAGAAACCAGCATCTGATTTACAGTAAGACAGTCAGTGATTTTCTGAAATCATTGGTTTTCTCTCATTTTAAATACATTTCAGATGCTTTCATTTAATTTTATATATATATATCTATATATATATATATATCCATATTTTATATGTGCCATTTTAATATGTTGTAGTTGTTGTTTTTGTAACTGTGTTATGAATAAAGATCATGTCTTTAGCATGCTCTCTCTCAGGTCTCTGTAAACACCAACAAAACTCCACTGCTGAGGTGGATTTTCAGATTAAGGGGACTTTAGTGTGCAGACATTAATCATTAACTTATTGATTATTTTTTTCCCCATTTGATGATTGTTTCATGGAAAACAGCGAACATCTTCCACATAGCTTGTCATGATTACATGATTGAAAGATGCAGATTGATGTGTGCACTGACCTGTGGTCTGTGTTACTGGACATATTTATCACACATGCTAGAAACCTACATTCAGGATGATAACATAAATACATAAAAGGTTTGACTTGTGTCCTCTTTTTGTAAACCAGAGTGAACTTTTTTGTGGATTTGTTCTTGGTTGGTTTTAATCAATAAAAAGCCAACCAGTTAACCAAAATGTTCCAAATTTGATCTGTGTGTCCGTCATGTGTCAGATTAAAGATTATTGGAGCAGTAACATCTAAATGTCTTTGTGTTTGTTTTTGGACAGATCACTCCGGGCAGCAAGGCAGCGCAGGGCAACCTGGTGCAGGGTGATGTCATTGTCGCCATCGATGGCGTCAGCACTGAGGGGATGACTCATCTGGAGGCCCAGAACAAGATCAAGATGGCCAACTACAACCTGGCACTTACCATGTCCAAGTAAGAATAGAAACTAATGAGCTTACATTTTGCACATATTGCACAAGAGTATAATTTCCACAGGGGATGGAGAGGGGTGCATCATTTCTCAGAATCCTATTTTTGTCCTCCTCACTTTAATCATTTATCGTTTCACTCGTTTATTGAGCAGCAGGTAGTGCTTCGAGAACCTTCTATTCTACACATAATATTCTCCTAAAGATACTAAAATCAAACACTAATCACAAATACTAAAGCAGTTAAGCACAGTGCTCTTTGTTGTAAAGGGTTGGGAGATTGGACGAATACAACAGTTATCTGCGATTGGCTGAATTTGTTGGATTTTTTGTGCAATTTTTGTCACAACTAACTCAGTGAATTAAGGGTTTATTTCGACCAGTTTGATGATTGGGAATGCAGTACCAATTTACCTGCTTTACAGTGCCTCCAACCAGGAATATGACAAAGACATGAGAGACACAAGAGAGTTAGGTTGTGTATCAGAAGGGCAGCGACAGCGTGGACAGCCAGAATATTTTCACATCCAACTCGGTTATACCAGTGGACATTGGAAATGATGGTTTTGGTGAGTTGTTTGGTGAAGTGTGCTGCTAAGGTGATGACTTAACAAGGCAATTCTGAAGGTGTATGGTAGTTAGAATATTTTCTTTCTTAATGTCATTATCTACTGTCCCCTCCCCTTTTGAAAACAAACCTATGCCCTTAATATCACCTGTTGCATTTAAACCAGTCTGTACTTTTTCCCACAAAAATGCAGCATCAGCTGGCTGCCAGTGTTGTGGTAGAAACTGTGTATAGATTAAACGTTGTTCTCCAGTCATTTTGAATAGATACATTTGCACTTATATAGTAAAAAGTAATTTGAGTCCAACAGAAAACTTAGTGTTTCTGCTATGTAATTAGGTTTGTAACTTCTGTTATAGGATAAGTAATCACATTCATTCAAATCATGGAGTGTTTGTACAATTTATTGGGCCAAAGGGATAATCCTGACTGGGGATGACAAAGTCCCTTTTTCTGCTTCCTGCCATATGTGAGAGCATTATCTGAACGTGGAGGACAGACAGTGAGTGTTTGGGGGTTTAAAGGTGACATGGTGACATTTATTCCTGCCCTACTTTTACTGTTTACCTAGATGGGTTGGAGGGAGACATTGCAGCGACTTACTTGTCTTCCTCTTCAGCTTCCCCAACTTCCCTGAGTGACAACAGACAGCTTATTGGTTGGTGTTTGTCAGACAGACATTTAAAGGTCATGGCTCTTTGCTCAGCCTGTTCAGATGCTCAGGAGACACAACGAGGTGCAAGGCGAGGGTCATGTGACAGGAGTTAAAAAACAATGTATTTATCCACCTAGTTCTTCTGTGCAGCATCTTCAGCTATAGCTGCTCTTTACAGGCACAAAACCTGACAACAACACTTCAAGAAATACTTCCATTAGTTTCAACCGACTGTTGATTTACAAGAAATAGCTCAAGTCTCTGCAACCAATTGTTGTGCATCAACAGATAGTTCTAGTCACTGAAACCAATTGTTGATTGGGAAGAAATAGTTCCAGTCACTGCATCCATTTGTATGTACATAAGTAGTGACTTGAACTGGATTAGAACAGCTACTGGTAGCCACTGCATGGTGCGCAGATGCAGTGTAGTGTGGGAGAAAGACCAGCCAGGTTGCTGCAGCCTTCTGGATGAGCTGCAGCGATCGGAAGGGGAAGATTAGAGATTGTTCTCTATAGTTACTGGATGCTGATGGATCCAGACTGCTTTGCTGCTACTTTAGAAGAGGTTTAACTAGTGCAATTTCCAATACTGTAGGGAAAAGGGAAGAGATGTTTGTTGCAGATGTTGACATTGGGCTGTTTCGGATGTCACACAGGAGTGAAATAAGAGTCAAATCTTCCCTCTCATACCCTGAAGGTGTCTGAAAGATGAGATCTGATACATTCAGGGAGGAAATGAATGTTGGTGCACACAGAGCTAACAGAAGAGTCTCTTCACTGCAAACCCTCTGGGTGATGAAGACAAGACATTGGGCTGAGGATGAGGAGCCTTTGTCTTTTTTTAAGTCACTCATGTTGTTTTATCAGTGGAAAGTGGACGGTAAGGCCTGTGGTGGACTGGAGGGGAAAGAGGTCAGGAAATAGATGTGAAGCGCTGACACACAGCAGGAAATATAATAGAAGCTGTTTGACCTCTGTTGACCTCAACACAATGCAGAGAATACAGTAAAGTCATTTTTCATTTCAGCCACAGTTTTGTTTCCCTCCCGGCACAAAATGACTGTAATAAATCTGTGATTGTCTGTAGGTTGGGTTTATTCCAACAATTCCTCCCAACGACAAAATATGCTGTTTCACATCACCTTTAAAGATATAATGTTTAAGATTTCTGCATTAAATGTCTAAACATGCTTGACAGATGTTACATATAATGTTGAGTTGTGTACTTCCATTATCCCACATTTTTCCAACAATGTTCAAACCCAGAGAAATTTGTCATTTTATTCATGTAACGTTTCACTGGTCGCCTGCCGTTTCCACATGTTGTGGTTGAGGTGTTTGTTGTTTGGATTAGATTTTTCCTTGTGTTCGTTACACTTCACTGTCCACTCACTCAAACACGCAAAACACAACTCATGTTATGGATTGACATACTTTATATTGCCATTGTTTATTGTTTAACTTATATTTTGTTAAATAAATATTTAGTTAAAAAGTCATTTGTTGTCCTCTTTGTCCTACCCTCGAGCCGGGTTGTGACAAAGTGGGGGCTCATCCGGGATCTGAACACGGACCTCTCACAAGCTTTTATTTGCATTTTCCTTGCAGATTTACTCAAAATTTGGTTAAAATTTGCAGTTCATTTGGATAAAAATATGGCTTATAACTGATTAATTTGTATCATCTCAAAATGCTAATATAGTCAAAATCTTTGGATCATTATCTTAGCACATTACACCCTTTTCTCCTAAACACTTCTGGTCAACACTTTACAGAAAACATAATTATATATATATATTTTACATATTTTCTATTGTACATTTTCATTTTAGATTTATCAGCTTATATAGTACTTCTTTTTCTTTTCCCTTTCTCTTACTATGTTTGTTGTGACTGTATTTACCAAACAAAATGTGAAAAATGACTTGGCAATAAACCTCACTGAATAATGGTGTTTTAGGTATATTATCAGGATGTAAATTCTCCTCAGGAAGCTACACTTTCTTTAACTTTCCTGCTGTAATAGACCGCAAATATGTTGTTAGAATCTGAAACTGTGACCGATCACCAGAAGCTGGATGATGTTTGGTGCTTAGTACAGCATCTTGTCTTTCTGTTTTTGTTGCTTATCATCGCTGCTCTCACGTAAATAGATTCCATCAGCCCAGCTCTTATCTTTCTTAAGGCCAGTGTACGTATGTTTGCAATTGTGGCAGAATAGTAAATGTGCCCTTCTTTCCAGCTTTTATTCCACTGTCGATTTGCTTCCGTTTCCCTGAGAAAGTCATGTGTCATTACTCCTTTCCATTATTTCTTGTGTCTTGTGACCTCTGACCCTTGACATCCTCCTCTTGTTATTTGTAGGTTTTTCTCTTGTTCTATAGGTTGTCGTTCTATACTATAGGTCATGAAGAATAGATGTTGACACACTTTTTCTGTTTGTTCTCTCTCTGTGTCCTTCTGTCGATTAGCAAACAGATCACAGTGACCCACATGCTCAAGGATTTCTTGGATAAAATTCAATGCCTGCGTACTGCTCTCTTAATTCACCATGATTTTGATGAGTTTTTTTTACTCAAGAATGGTTGGCATCAAGCAAGTTAAAATTAAGAGTACATCCAAATAACTATTCCCTTTCAAAGAAGACTGGATTCCATCACAAATTGCTACATGAAATCGATTATAGCCATAAAATGTTCTCCAGAGGTTATCAAAGTTAAGGCCCAATTTTGGAAATATAGTGTTAACCAGATAGCACATTCTCACTCCCAACTATGGCAGCTTGGTCAGAGGCCCTAAGATTCAAACTGTAATTATCCCTGTAGTTTCCGTTTTTTTTCACGTGCAGGGCTCCGCGGTTAGCAATAATAAATGTGAAATGTCCGGTTAGACTTTCAAAATAAAGCTTGCTGAGGAACATTTTAGAGTTTAAACTGTTGCAGTTTGATTATGTTTAGACACAAAGACGACTTGGTTGAGTTTAGGAAAACATTGGGGTTTGGGTTAAAAAAAGTTATGGAAGTTAAGTTACAGGAAACAAACAGCGGTCTCCTAGGTTAAAGCCCTGTTTGTTTGACTCATCCATCCACCACACCGCCTCCATATGTGGACTTCCTTGCTTTTTATATTACGTCACCTGACTTTAATGACACATTAAAACATTCTGCTAGACGGGGACGTCCGGAAGAGACGCTAGAGAGAGATACCTGAGGTGTCATAGTTTGAAGAGTAGGGCCACTGATCAATCTGTCAAACAATAATAATAAGAACAGCACAAAGGAAGTTATAGCCTAGGTTTTTCTCTCCACCTACTGCTCCTGTCATTACAGCTCTAACCCAGTCCCTCTCTTTAAGATTAGCATTTCTAACATTTTAGATAATTATTTGAA